CTAGATGCCGCTGGCGTGTACTCTCGAGCGAACTGGGGTGCCCCTGCTGTGGAAAACCAAGATCGATTTTGTTTGCAGTTGTGTATCAAGAATGGCTGTGAAGCTTCTCGCATCCTTTCTCATTGTCGCGCTGGCAGCTGCAGAGCCTTCTTTGGAGGCTTTGGAGGTAGATGATGCATGCGCAGCCGACGGCGATTGCAGCCTGGAATTGAGCCAGCTCCGTGGAATGAAGGTGAACTACCATGATGCTTTGGCAGATGCGGATGAGGATGAGGAAGTGACAGTTGAGGAGGGCGGAGCGTGCACCAACCAAAAGGACCTGGGAATTTGGAAAGGAGGAGGAAGGGCAAGCTTTGATGGTGCATTGAACCAGTGCGGCCGCTCTTGTGCTGCAGGTTTCCCTTGTACCCAGGGCTGCATGCAACAGAAGGGGTACTCGACAGGTTGCGCAGCCTGCATGGCTCACTTGGTGGAATGCTCTCGTGACAAGTGCATGAATCAGTGCATCAGCAACGACAAGAGTGCAGCTTGCACTGGCTGCGTTAGGAAAGGCTGCCGCCCCAGCATGAAGCAGTGCAGCGGCCTGAACGCAGGGGGCCACTAAGCATGAAGGCCACAGAGCCGCTTACACTCAATGGCCCAAGGTGGTCATGAGAGGACTGTGTATGAAATGTGCTTTCAGCAAAGAGCGGGCGCTCTATATATATCTGCAGGCAAAAGCTGGTTTTTCGATTCTTTGTGAAGCTCTATTTTGCCAGCAATTAGGAACGTTGATAGTGCAAGGCATGGACTTCGTGCAGCTGGACCTTATGGCCTCGCTTGGTTGCAAGGCCTTCACAAGTACATGTGGTACTTGAATTTAATTGAATGTAGGCTTTTGCGAATGAAATTGTTCATGCTAATTATGTGGTCAAGACCATTTGATGGCTTTGCCTTGTGGAGGCGGCGGACCCAAGCTGCTGGGCAGAATCTGAGATCCACACCGGTCTTTCACTGGTGTTCCTAGAAGTTGCAGAAGAGCAGCTGCAAAAAGTGCATCACTTGGAAGTGACATGTTTATTTTTTGTGTGACCGGTGTACACATTGTGTCCCATGTTTGCTGCAGCCTCCCATCTCCACAGACCCAAACTGCTCGTTCGCTCGCTTCGTTCCATTGCACCGAAGAACCCCGGCAAATCGCTGGCCGTTCAAACGGGTTCCGCAGGACCACTGCAGTGAAGCTTCGCTGAGGGACCGGCGGACCTCGAATCGACACCGACAGGCGGGAGAGACTCCGAGCCCATAGGGCCAGAGACAGATGCTGAGCTGCGAACATGGCTGAGCTGCGTTGTTGAAGACCGCTGAGCTATTGGTCTAAACAATCACAGTGGCAGTGTTGCTCTAAACCGGCAACCAGGTGGCAATAGACCTGCCATATGATTCATATTGTGATCTGAAAGACATCTAGCAAGTGAGAGGCTGGACTTTCCATGCTAGAGACAGATGCAAACGCCAACAGTTTTGTGACGCAACCCACACCCCTCTACACTAGTACAAGCACTTTTTGTTCCAGAGCAGCTGCCAAGGACGCCTCTTAACTATGCATAGGGGTTGAGGAGGTGAGCACGTTGTGATCGGTAGTGGACCTTTTTAAAAGGAAAATTGACCTTCTATGTAAAGAGGGCCACCACTCGCCACTTCATTGTTTGCATGACATACAGTACCAGCTTTGTTAATCATTCAGGGTGTGTTCGCATGTTGCCTACCACCCAAGATCAACCAATGAAGAGTTCATTTCCACTTATGCAGTGCTCCGCCAAAGAATTGTTGGTGAAACCAAGTCAGGCAGGGTGGGATAGCAGCCCCCTTGCTACACGAATTCCCATCTTGATATCCTGAGCTCCAAGCCGGGATTTTGGACTCCAGTACTGTTCCCTGCTGGTCCTTTGCAGTTTCATGCACTTTCTATGTGTGCTCATGCCCTCAAGTTGCATTGGATATTGAACTGGTTTCAGTTCCAATCATTCATTTGCAAATAGATACCGAAGTAGCAGGCACAGGCGTGGATTTCCTTTCCCTTTTCAGATGGTTTGAGACTCCAGCTGCCATTCTGTGGCGACAGCAATCCGCGGCTGCTCTGTCTACAGCAAGAGCTTGTCTCCCATTACCCCAATAAGATGGTTTGAACAGTTGGACGTGTACGCAACTTTATTGCAGGTTTTTATTTTCATTCTCCCAGAAGTTCCTTTCTTCATGTCCCATTGGCGGTGTCAAGCTGCTTGATGTGCAGGTTCCCCTGAACGCCCACCAGCACAAGTCAAAAGATTTGGCGGTTTCCTCTGGAAGCCAGTTCAACCTGTGTCGAGCTGAGCACTCCTGTTCTTCCAACATTTTTCAATTTCCGGATTTGTCTAGCCCGGGCAGATGGACGAGATCTAAAGCTGGGGTAAAGCTGAATTGGCATGTTTCTGCTGGGGCTGTCTGATCTCTGTAGCCCGCAAATGCGATGCGGAGAAGTGCGTGAGCAATGGTGGTGGTCCTCTTATTCCCTACAATATGGAAGATAATTTCGTGGGAAAACTGCCTCGAGGAGCTTGGACGAGTGACCCACGTGCCATTTCTGCACCTAACGGTTAAGACCTAACCCTCCTGACCTACAATACCCTACATCTTCTTGATTCTTCTTGGATAACATGCACTTCTGCAGTCTCCAACAGCGGTGTCCCTCGAGGTCTTGCCACTGCTATTCTCAGTTCCCTTTCGAAGCAGGGGAAGTCTCAAGAGGTGATTGCCTTGCTGAAGCAGCTTGCACATTGCAGTGTCTCAGCATCACCCTCCTTGTAGGGATATCTTTGAAGCTCAGACCTTGGACGATTTTTCCTTAGCATTCCCGTCTCGCGGCTGTCTAAGCAGACGACTTTTTTAGAGGTGTGGAGATTGATGTGGTACACTGGGGTGCTGCGAGCAGGGTCTTTGAGAACCACTGGAGGCGTGGGAAGCAATCAAACATGGCCAGTTTTCTTTTTAATATGAGTTCGGATCTAGGACTTGCAGAACCTTATCAGACCCGGCTTGACAAGCTCGATTCTCGACTCTCGATTATTCTCGATCCTCGATTCTGGATACGTACTGTATTCGAATATCCTCGATTCTCGATTCACGGTTCACGGTCCTTGCTTCTCGATTCTCGACTCTCGATTGACACACGCCCCTCGATTCTCGACTCTCGATTCTCAATTCGTGACTCTCGATTCTCGGTTCTCGATTCTCGAGCACACCCTTGTCAAGCCAACCCTCAAATTTATTCACCCACATCACCTCTCGTTCAAGCCGAAGTCCGGTCAGGCAGTCTTTAGCGATGCTTCGGCATGGACAGATACTCGACCTTTCGCCCAATGAGTTCATTTTGAGCTCTGTTCCTCAGCAAGACCGGAAGACTACAGAATGTGAGCAAGAGGGAAACAAACAGAAAGATTTCTCAGAGGAAGAAGAATAGAACGCCGAGAACGCTGATATATATATATATATACTGTACATATATATATATATTTGTATAGGTCCTGACAAATTGGACCTAACTGCGGAACCAGAGTGAGTTAAATGCAATCTCAGGCTGTGTCGAGTTGCTCCCGGAAAAATGCTCATGGTGCATGGCCAATAGCATTGGATCTTCTCTGTAACCGCATCTCCAATGAGGCTTTGGCAGCGCATGTCAGGGCAAGCTCTAAACAGTGTTTCAAGGGCTCACTGTTTCTCTTTTGTAGGGATTCTCCCATTCTCCTCCTTGTCACCTCTTGTCGTTTCTTCCGTGTTGCTTTTGATGGAAAAGTCTTTGTGTAGAGAAGTAGCCGTAGCGCACGAAGTCCACGGCACACGGATACGAAGCAACGACGAGGTCGAAGCTAAGGGCAAAAGGCGACTTAACGCCACACGCAGCTTTTCCAAGCTTCTCGAGCCCACCCTCTACGGTGGGATATGGTTGGTTTGAAAAAGAAACTCATGACATGACATGTCAAACATGGCGCACAGCGTGCGTCTCAACACGGGGGGAGATGTTCACTCACCTGCCCATGGAGATGCTGCGTCCAGAAAAGCGTTGAGCTCTGGTCGGATGGTCTGTGCATGCTCGTTCGTCCTATCAGGTGGTGGTCTGTGCATTGCACAGTATGCACATGCTCTACGAACATACAGCGGGCCGTTCATCTGCTCTACAATGTGGCAGGTCTCATGGTGCCAGCACACGGAGGTTCGCGAGGTCACGATGTTCCTCGAGAAAGGGCACATGGAATTGTGCCATTCCATCTCAAACATCAGCCGCTTGATGAGCTGGTGTCCAGTGCCAACCAGGGTTCGGAGGGTCTCCACTTCATCGACCAGGAGGTCCAGTGCGGTTCTGGACTCTTTGGCTGATCGCGCAGCTTCAGTACTGCGCTGCTGCTCCAGTTGGAGTAGTTCTCGAAGTCGTGAATGCACGATGGGTTCATCTTTTTGAGTCTCAACCTCCTTGGTGTCAACCACATTCTCCTTCTCCTGAACCAGGCGTGGTGCAGTCCAACGGCCGATCATGAAGACGGTAGCCATCGCAAGGACGTGCAACATGGCCAGGATGGCCAACCACAGCCATAGCTGCCCTTCTTCACTTCCTTTCTCCTCTGCTTCAGCCACACACTGTTGACCCTTGGTCAAGGTAGGCATTGAGGCCAGCAGCAACATCACGAAGACATTCGAAATGCGACACTTGAAGGTGGTGTCCATAAGCAAGCCGCCATGGCTCATGGCGAACACATATTTAAGAGGCTCCATGTTCTGGACACAAAAGACGCCGTCAGGAGTCTCCTCAGTCCTTGGCTGGTCTTCATTCGAAAAAATCTCCGGATACTCCGAAACGTTGACATTAGCAGGAATCTGCTCGTCTTCAGGGGTCTCATTCTCCTCTGGGTGCGGTGGAACAAGAGGTGCTGCTGCAGTGGTTTCTGCAATGGCCTTAGCCTTTTCTCCTTTTGTCTTCTTCTTTGAAGCCACATACTCGGGGTCCCAGGTCAACTTGATGCGGCGATGACGAAGGCGTGCTGCAAGTAGAGCTCGGGCTGACTCCTTGGTGAGTCCATCAGCCACTTGACGCTCAGAGCTCATCCATCGAAGCTGGCCACCCAATTCCTCCATCATCTCCTTCATCACACGGATCTCAAGGCTGACCCGTTTGTCAATCACCGATGAACTGACTCCTTCACGGTGATAGGAGTCATACAAAGCCTTGGCATCAGTCACCATCGTCGGCGTCAATGTCGACGTTGACTTCAACAAATCCTTCAACTTGAGGTTGGGATGGTGCAGGTAGTGCCAATACTTGCAAGCGAAATCAATGCTGTCCACAGCTTGTCCTCCAGCCTGGGCCTCTGCAGCCAGTGAGCTTCGGGTGACCCTTGGAGTGCGGAAGCTTCGCCAGTCCAGTACGTGATACTCGCCATCGTCGCCAGAAGTGAACAACTGTCGGTTGACGAACATCAGGATGTAGCCACCTTGTGAGCTGCCGTCAGACCTGGCAGTGAAGCCAGCATCAAAGAAGCACAAGAGTTGCAGTTCGCTGGGGTGTCCAATGAAGTTGTAGTATAAACTGACATCCTTGTGTTCCTTGGCGAACTTCAAAAGCCGATTGCAGTCGTGGACGGTCTGTGTGGTGGCCTTGTTCACTTGTCCTGACAACATCGAGGTCGAGCACTGAAGGTGAGGCGAGGTCTGCACGGCGGGCCACTGTAAAGAGCCAAGGATGCCGCGGACTTGAGTGATGCCTTTCTCATCAAGCGGCTCTTGCAGATCACGGTGCTTGGAGATGGTGATGGGCTTCACCTTGCTGAAGTAGTTTTCCTGATGTAGGCGTCTGCCACCCTCAGGAGTGCGCTCCAGCTCACATCCACAGTACTCCAGCTTGTCATTGTCCTCCTTCCACTCTCGAAATGAGAAGGTCGAGCGCAGCATGTCGGTGACTGCTTTGTACCTGGGAGAACGAGGACATCCAGCACCCAACATGTCATCAACGTGCATGATCACCATGCCGCATAGTTTCTCGGGGCCAAGAGTGCTGGTCTCCTTGTGGATCGGATCATCATCGGAGTACTCAGGATCGTCCTTCTCGTAGATGAGGAAGGCACATGGATCCAGTGGATGCTGTCTCAAGCCTGCCCTCAGCAACCGATCGACTGCCTCCAAATACCAACCACGAGGGGCATCTGTCTGGCCGTAGCAGGGTTTCAACAAAAGCATCCTCGTGTCATCTGATGCGCCCAACAGCTGAAGTGCTTCTGCAGGCAGCTTGACCCAGAGCTTGCGGGTCTGAGGACGACCTTGGAGGAAGGCAGTGCTGACGTCAGCTGTCCATGTTGGCCAACGAAGGTTTGCTGCAAGCGACAGGACCATAGATCTCGACAACCGTGTCGTCGTTGGAGAGGATGTAGGAATTGTTCCTGCCAGTGCGTCCGGGTCGGCAAAACCGCGAACGATCAGTCGGGCCTTCGCCCGTGGAGTGCCATCTTCATTCTTTGACCACTTGAGCAAGATGCGTGAGGTCAAGGTACGGGCTTCATCAGCTTCAGCAGTCGTCTGAAAAGCCCAGACTCCATGATCGAAGAAGGACTTGAGCTCCTTGACTTTTGCCTCCTTGAAGAGAGCGCGCTCATGTGGACCAAGAAGTCTCTCATTGACTCCACTCTTGTCTTTCTTGAACTTCTTGAGATTGGACTTCTTCTGCTCTTTGGCCACTTGTCGAGCGCTGGTGCGACCCATGGGAGTGCTGGTGTACATAGCCATCTCGCGTCGGGCAGTGCCGGAGAGTTGGAAGATGGTGGTGCCTGTCCATGCTCCCTTGGTGTCATCGGGAGGTGAAGTGACCGTTCCGTCATCGGTGTAGAGCTGGCTCCGGCCATTGGCCTGATGCACCATGGTGATCTTGAGTTTGTCAAGCTGATCCGGGTTGATCGGACAGTCCTTGGGCAAATGCTCGATGTGCATGCGGCCTCGGCGAGGGGTCATGTGGTGACGGATCAAACATCCTGCTTTGAGCTCCCAATAGTCAGCAATTTTCTCCTCAAGCTGCAGGTAGCCCTGTTCATCCACTCGCCAACCAGATGGCAATGACTTGGCATCCAGGTTCTCGATGAAGAACGCTTGGCCATCGAGCTGCTCTGGTGCTGGTAGAGGTGGAGCATGGGCTTCTGCGGCTCCCGTTGATTCCGCCGTGGGATACGGTGGTTGTCCATGTTGAGGTCGACGGCGGAACGGAGCAAAGCTCAAAGTCTCCTGCCTGTTGAACCGAAGTCGTTGCTGTTGGAAGGTCTCAGCTGGTTGTGATTCATACAGTGCTGCAGTTGCTGGATCCAACGTGGGCTGCGGCTGAGTTGTTGGAGGTTGTGGTGCCGGGGTTGGTGGCATCGAAGGTGCCACTGGTGGCTCCTCACTGGGTTCCTGGCTGGGTTCGGAGGTCACCTCATCATCATCGCCTGGGACCGGAGGTAGCGATGTGGTTGCCTCTGCCGCTGGGCCTTCTTCCAGCGCAGTTGGTGCCACGGGTTGGGCTGGTGCTGGTTCACCTGGTGTCGGTGAAGCTGGCGGTGCCTCAGGCGGAGCTGGAGGTGGATCCATTGAGAGCCGAGGTCTGCGGCGAGGGGGAGTCATTTCATGTTCGGACTCCGTGTCGAGCTGTGTGCCCTCGCCTTGTTCATCATCCTCGACATCAGCCAAGTTCTGCCGGTTGACTCGATGAAGGTCATAGAACCGCGTGACTCCTCTTGACTTCAACTGCCTCACCAGGTTCAGAGCATCCCTCGTGTCTTCGATGGAGTGGTTGAGGTTTCGTACATCGGCTCGAACATGATGAGGTGCGCAGCGAATGAGCTGGGTCTTATAGGCGAGCCAGTACACCGAGACAGGACTTTCTGAGTCTTCAGTGTTGGGTCGACGCTCCTTCATCACGACCTTTGCAGGTCCCAACCATCGAATCTTGACTAAGTCGGGTTGGCGAGCGTCTCTCCAGAACCATACTTGCTGACCCAGGGCATACTCTGAGTTGATGCCCTTGTACTTCAGGTGAAGTGCTGTTCGAAGACGTCGGTCAGCATCTGCATCATTGAGGGCTTTGCGAGCGGCATGACGCTTTGTGAGCATCTCCTCAAAGGTCTGGTTGCCCCCAAAGTGAACAGGCTGAGTGGCATCAGACAACAGGTCACCAGCAAGCGAGGGCTGATAGCCAAGCACCCATTGTGAAGGTGAGAATCCGGCAACACCTGGCATACTGTTCAGCTGTGGGATCACATAGCTCAGGGCCTCTTGGATGGCTGCAGGTCCATCCAGCTGGAGATCGTTGAGGTAGACTTCAACTGCTTTGCGAATAACGGCGTGTCGCCGCTCCACAATGGCCAAACGCTCATGAGCTTCGCCAGGTGCCACTACATGCTTGATCTGGTGTGCAGCTGTCCATTCATCCATTTGTGAACTGAGCCAACCACGACCCTCATCGGTGAGCAAAGTGCTGGGTGGACCATAGTGTGCAATCCAAGTGCGCTCCAGGGCCTTGACATAGTTGTCAGTGTGCTCGGACTGAATGAGTGAGGCTGCTGTATAGCGAGTCGCACTGTCAACCAGGCTCATGATGGCATACTTCACGGTGCCGCGACGAAGCCACATGACATCAGCTTGTACCACCTCATTGAATT